TGGCAATAGAGGATGGACTAGAGTACGAAAAAGCTTATTAGCATTTAGCACATCGTTAAGAATTTGTGTTTGAATTTGAAAACGAGAATGTCTCGTCTGAGACTTGTTCACCTTTTGATTATGCTTTGAAATTTTGGTTGTTTCCAGTAATGGCTAGAGATTGTCTGTCGCCAGCAATTGACTTCTATTATAGGCATGAAGAGTTAAAACAACAAAAAGGACGACGCTTCTTAGGGGATACTAGAAGCCAATCACCATAGGAGGTGTTAAAGTTTGTGGTAAATGAGGGGGTTGTTGGATAACATGAGGGTTAAGATAAATGGAATTTAGACATTAAAGCTTTTTATGTCTAAATTCGTCTGCATGAAAAAGAGAGGGCATGCACACTTTCATAACAAATTCTTTATTTCAAGGAGTCTAGGATAAGGGAAGTGCGAATGGGTTATCCAAGTCAACTTGAATGCAAAGGTGAGTAAATCGGCCCTAATAATGGTGAAAGTGGCCTTATTAGTCTTGAGAAAGGTGCTAATGGATTCACCAATGAGTCTAATGAAGTCCTCTATGAAAAACTCAATACGGAGTTGTGGGAGCCTAAGCTAAATTACTATGGTTGAGTTGGACGCTGATTGAGGTCAAAAGTTGAGAGTCCATTGACGAGCTGAAAGAAAGTGTGATATGATAAACTTAAGATCACATTTAAAAATGAAGAAGAGATCATCTTTGTTGGAAACTATGAAAAGGATAAAACACTTATCAAGATTGATAGCATCAAAGGAACCAACAAGCTTCTAGATGCCATTAAGCTTCTTAACAACATATGAGAATTCCATTGAGGGACTAAAAGGCTTGACAATAAGGCAGGTGCCATGGTTGATAAAGGTGCACTCTGTCTTATTGGGAGAGGGTAATAATAGGGGTCAGTTAGAAGATGGTAACAAGGGTAAGGTAGGCCAGGTAGAATCAAGAAGGAACGATTGGGTGGAGCTAAGTGAATTAGGAAAAAGCAGTGAGCCAACGAGATTGTAAATAGTTTGCAACAATGATGTTATTTGGCAAAAGTTGGCGTTGTTAGTGGATGCAATAGAGGCAAAAAGTGGTTAAGAAGCAAGTAGATACAATAAGCTTGTCACTGTAAGAGGCTTTACAGGTGCTAAAGGTGAGGTAGGAGAAATTAGAGTGACAATGATGGAAGCAACAGAGAGGCTGGGGTTAGGCATGGGGTTGGGGACCATCATCTCAAAACACTTTCTTTTCTCAAAACAAAAATAAAAAAATGATGATTTAGTATTTCAACCAAATTAAAACCATAGTATAAACAAAATAGGAAGTAATATAAATTTAAATACATTTCATGAAAAAGAGTATAAGGGAGGGTAAAATAGTAATTTTGCATAAAAATCATTTTCCTACAAAATAGGTAGCCATATATTGTATTTCCTTACCTCAAGTACAAACAAGCTAAATGCCTACTCATCAAGGATGTAGGAGTAAATCAAAACCTAAAACATACAAAGATTAACTTAAGTCACAATTATACTTAAATTGTTTAAGCTAAGTTATAAATTCCAACCTTCACGTTCTTCTAGCTACATGAACTTCTTTCCTTTCCCCTTTTCCTTTTTATATCCCTTAACTTAATACTCTTCATTTGCCATTCCAAATTTCAACCTCTTCTTAAATATTTACATCTCTTAGCAAGTAGGCTACTTATCGACAATTCCCCTTTCCCTTGCAACTTTAAATCTAGGAGCTTAAGTCCTTACCTAATTCAAGTTAGAACTGAGGTCCTAATAGTTGGAAACATGCAACCAAAGCAACCAAAATAGTTGCGTTTAAGTCACTGAAATAGTAGTAGCTTCAACCCTCAATATGCTAAAATTACTGTAATAAGTGTACTAATCGCTTCAAGTAATATAATAATGAAAACAATGTCGAATTAAGAGAATTGTGATTAATTAAGTAACAAAACTAATTAATCTAAATTTATTTGAACAATAACAAAGGAAGAAACTTTAATTAAAAATAATAAAAAATAACAATTAAAATAAAACTAATCAATATATAAGGTATGAAGGCATCAACTTCACCATAACCAATTAACATAGATTTTAGATTATTATACTTTCACTATCAATTTGTTTAGTGTTATTGCATGTGATGACAAATTCTCCTATATTAATTAACTAACTTTCTCAAGTTAAATTAATTCTTTATCTATTTATTAAATTAGTCATATCTCTATGTAATTTAAAACAAATTGGTGAGCATTTAATTCTATGAAAACCTCTAACTTAAGAAGGAGGAGCTCCTAACTCTCTTCTTTTTCTCCACTATCACATGTGATGTTAATTACCTCTTGGTTTCATAGTCTAATACACAATTTATATTATTATTTGTTTAATTTGTGCAATTATTTTTCAAATTCATATATAAATCATTAAATCAATTAAAAGGTGATCATGCTCTTAATACATTAAGTTCAATAATATAAACTCATCATATGAATAATTTTAATTAAAAATATAAAAATCACAAAGTCTATACTAAGTTGATTAGGTTACATTTTAGAATTAATAGACTAAATTAGTTCACAATAAAAGTAATAAAATTCAAAATTATAATTATGAATATAAAAATATCAAATAATAAATAAAAATAATTTAAGAAAATAGATCCAATTTGAGGAAATTGATGAGGAAATTGAAATTTTTAATTTTTATTATTGATAAATTCTTTATTTTGATCTCCAACAATTTTCGAAAGAGGGGCATCACCAACTTCTGAAACTCTCCTTTAATTTTGAACTTGGATGAGTATTTATTGTGTTTTAGAAAAGCTAATTAAAATAGAAGTGAGACTCACACCAAAACCATAAGCCAGCCATAAGTTTGCGTAAATTGCATAAGGGGTCAACACCCTCAACAACGTGCCAA